TATAAGTACAATGAACCTCCAAGTGCAGGGTACTTGGCATGTAGCTTACGCGGAGGTTTCAGGGTTTCGGGTTCGGTTCATGGGCGGCATGGTCAAGTGGGATCGGTACTTGAAAGTTCATAATTGGTTCTGACTAGGGGGGGTGCGGTTCTGGGGTTTAGGGTCTTGGGGGCTCGTCCATGTCTAACTAGGGCATAACTACAGCCACAGAAGATGGCTACAACCACCACGAATGTGCGGAGGTTCCCGCAAGAGATCCCTAAATCCTAAACCCTAAAACCCCTCCTACGTAGAAACTCTGTTCTGACCAGCCAAAAACCTTCACGAAATTCCACATGCTGCTTGTGAAGTACGAACGGTTTTTAGGGTTTAGGATTTCGAGAGTAAGGTGTAATGTAGACTCCTTATGCATAAACCCCCTCCTTAAACAGGGATTACAATAAGGATCCTAATCTCAAGGCCCTTAAAAGGAAGGGTTTGATTAAGGATTTAGGGTTCAAGATTTTGAGCTTAAGGTGTAAAGTTTGGGACTTGGGGTTTGGGGCTTAAGGTCCATCAGCAGCCAGACCAACCCCAGACCCTAAAAGCTAAACCACCAGAAGCAAGAAGAATGCCACACTGTTGAGGGAAAAGATCCTGCATGACCTTAAGTATACTATGGCGCCATGATTCCAAGTGTCTAGGTATATTCGCGTCATGCAGGATTTTGACCATCAACGGGTACTGCCGAGATGCTGTCGGCCGAGAAGGTGTCGAAGAGATACCTTTTTAGAGTTTAGGGTTTGGGGATTAGGGTTTAGAGTTTAGGGCTTAGGGTTTAGGGCCTTAGTCGCGGAAGGTTTGCATGTTCTTGACTTCTTAGGCTGGCGATGTCACTTATGGTGTCTTGGAGGATGGCTGAGCCCAGGTAAATTCTATCCTTCTCAGGAAGAACTATAACCAGAAGAGGCTACAAACTTACTGTATCCCCTATATACCCCAATATGGATCCCCCAATTCATGGAAACCTTAGTCCCCAGGCCTAGCAATCCTGTGTCATGCTTTTGCCTAGTCGTTTTGTACGCGGGACTAGAGGATGAGACTGCTACTCACTTGAGGATGTGTAGCCAGCTTAGGGTCCTAAACCCTAAACCCTAAACCCAAGATCCTTGATTTCGCCTCCCTACAGCGCACAAACCAAAGTCACACAGCCCGTAGACGCCCAAATCAGAGAATCCTTGCTATGGGTACATAATAGCTTCCCTTTTCTTTTCCAGTACCCCAATATATCTCAAAATACTGCGGTATACTATAGTAATTTCTATTTTCTTGCCCATTATCCCAATGTATCCCCAATAGATCCCGTATATACCCCAATATGGATCACCCAATTTAGGGAAACCTTAGTCCCCAAGCCTAGCAATCCTGCGTCATCTCTTTGTCTAGTCGTTTTGGCCTGAGTGTTGAGAGACGACTCTCAAACTTGGGACGCCGAGAAAGGCGTAGCAACTGTGGCGCCTTCCCACTCCAAACTCCAAACCCCAACCCCTAAACCCTAAGCATAAGCCCCCTGGAGAACAAAGTGTAAATAGCGAACATGGATTCGGTCGGCTTGCTACGCATAAAGGGAAGGAATCACTGGAGACGATGTTCATGGGTCCCCCTACTACCCCCCTGTACTACCCCCTAGGTTCCCCCTTAATCAGTAAATTATCCTAATGCATCCCTTAATAACACTGATAGTTAAGTGGAACCTTGGGTTTGGAGAGCATAGTAGGGGTAGTACCCATGATATGTAGGTCTTGGATACCGCCCCCCAAGCAGTAACAGCGGGTAAAAACACGAAAGTTGAAGATATGTGTTAGTTTCCCAAAATAAGGGGACCCCAATTTAGACCCCAAAATACTATAGTCCTTATTATAGGGACCCCCCAAAACTACCCCTGTTTTTGGAAACCCTCATATAGCTCTTAATGCTACCCGTCTAAAAGACCCTTGCCTGGACCCCAAAGGTTGGTAGAATAATAGACCAAAATCACGAAAAACAGCCCAAAAGGCAATTATTCTACATGATTTGGGGTCCAGGTAAGCCTTGCTGGGGTGGCAGTATCAATGTAAAGTCTGCCAAGACGATTGTAAGAGGAGAATTTTGCCACACTCCCAGATTGCCCAAAAACATGGTAACACGTCCTTGAAT